TAACCCTGAAGGGCTTTCTCAAACATCGATGCACCTTTTCAAAGATCTCCTTTAACCTACCCGAGATTCTCCAGTCTGCCATCAAAATAAATTAAATCGTCTCACCCCTCTCTTCTTCTTTATTTATCATCATCACAAAAGAGATCGTAAAAAAAAACCATCACGAGTTTATATCAGTGTCAACAGAATCAGCCGTAAAATTCTAATCTGAAATCTTTAGAGCCATATATTTCTGGTTGGCAGTGATGAAAAAAATGTAATAAAAAAAATAAAGGGTTGTTATCACTTATCGCCGGGTGAGCGCCCCTTTTGCCAGTTGGTACAGGGGAATATGAATTATAACGCTGTCGGGGGGGAATGCTACATTCAAAAATGATGGAATGGCTTTGGAGATATCTTTAGCCGGGATTTTAGTATTTCTTCTTTAATAATCTCTCGGAATTGCGGTTCATTCCTCCATTAAATTTTCTATTCAGGGGTTTTTCGTCGGGCTTCATGACATCATTGGTGAATTTTTGAAATTATTTCAATTATCTTTGGATCAATCTAATTGGTTTATTGGAATAGATCGTAATAAAGGCTTTGTTCAAACTTAAGTGTCGTTTTTATTTGTTTTTATACGCATCGAATGAATGTATATAATGGAATTATTTTCATTGAAATTAAGAAACAGATAGTACAGACTGTGGGATATTACTTCAGAAATAGCTGCATTTGTATTCTCAATGTTGTGGATTTGAAATTAATGCAGAGTGAAATCGTTCTTGGAACTTTTTATTTATTTTAGAAATAAAAAAATCAGTTTGTCATGCCATGTGATCTTTTCTATTATGGAACTCGTTGTGAAAGTGAATATCACATTCAATTGAATTTTTGACGGATTGGTAAATTAGAACAATAGTTGCTTGAGTTTTTGCAATTTTCAATCATTTGTGTTGTTTTACGCATTTGAAAGTCGCGATTTCATTGAATATACCGGAAATTAGTTCATTTATCACTAATGAAATATATGAAAATTACATGTGAATCAGTTGTTATGGATTCCAAGATTTTTTAATTTTAATTTTTAATTTATTGACTAAAGTGCGTAAATTTACGTAAGTTTACAGCAGTTTTTAGATATTTCAACGATCTTTGAATCTGTTGTTTTCCCAAAAGAGCTGAGAGATTTTTAATTTTCTCGTTTAAATATTTACAATTTTTTTCACTCGCCTACAGTTTACGATCATCATCCCGATATTTATCCCAATATTTATTCACCTATTCACGAAGAACTTGTGAGATATTTTGATGATTTTAGAATTTGTCGTTTTCGAAAAGGAGACGAGAGATTTATCGCCCGAAATTTCAGAAATAATTTCCCACACGGAGAAATGTCACGCTCCGCAAAAATTCCGTGACAGTTCCGTAAAATTTCCTACAACCACATTTCGCTTCGGAATTACGGAAAAGATACGTAATTTTTATTGAATATTTCTCTCCGTGCAGTAATGTAAAGAGTTTCATTCCATTCATCATTTCTCTGGACGTATTCATAATCTATACTTGTATTATCCCACTCCATTGAACTTTCCAGAATAACCTAATGGAAAATACCCAGGGAATCATTGAATTCGATTCGATGAATAAAAGAGGAAGGAAAGGATTGAAAAATCAGATTGTTTTTTAAAGAGCTTTTATCCAAAGTGGAACTACTTCAGCAAGAGTCCGGTAAATCCCGATGAAAGTGCCTATCACAGCGAGGATAGTGGTTAAACGTCCCAAACTCTCCAAGTAAAATTCACTTACGCGTAGAAGATGAGAATCCAGAGCCCCATTCCCCCTCGGATGTTTACAGTGAGTTAAGGAGTCCGTAAGGTCGACTAGTTTACTCGTAGAAAAGTAGCCAACCTCCAAGTGAATCTTTTGCTCTGCCTCCCACCCCTCCCTCCACCCCCCGGCCCGCCGCGGTTCCCACCAAGGTTTCTCAAGCCCGTTTAAATGTTCTAGTTTCAAGTGAATCAAAGTTTCCCGAACTTACCGCGTCGAATCTTGGTTCAAAGTTTTCTCCAGAGGTAATCTATTTTTTATACCTTTACTTTTTTTAGCAAATGGTGGGGGGGGGGGGAGAGGGGAGAGATAAGAAACATAATCAATTTCAATTGACTTTAACGATCTCTTCATTTGAGGGGGGAGTTAAAGGTCCATTTATATTGTTGAATAAGAAACCTTTTATGCAGGAGAAGAACAAAGTTTTAATTATCGGGGGATTATGCCTCATTTTTATGAACTCTTGACCATAATTCAAGTAAGGAGAGGATTTTTAAACTGAGGCTTGAAAAGCCGCGGAATGCTGGTGAAATAATTTCTTGAAATGAGGGGAATGCTGATGCATTTCAGTAAAATCATCTGAAATTTAATACGAAAGATAAACCCAGTCAACAATTTACGGGTAAATTTCTGGATATTCCGGACTTCAGGATGGCATCGGTAGAAATTATTCCCCGGGAATATGATCAATTTCACTTGACTTTAATGATTTCTTCATTTTGAAAGGGAGGGGGGGGGGATAAAAGGTTCATTTATACTGTTGAATATGAAACTTTTTATGCAGGAGAAGAATAAAGTTTTAATTATCTGGGGATTATGCCTCATTTTTATGAACTCTTGACCATAATTCAAGTTGCCCTTAGAATAAAAGATTGTATCACGAGATCGCGATAGGCTTGCAAAGTCTCTAAATGTTAATGATGAAAGAATTTCTTAAAGTAAAGGAGAATGCTGATGAATTTCAGTGAAATCATCTGAAATTTAATACAAATATTACGTAAAGAATTACAGAATTTTTGTCGAATTTTTCGCATCACATGAGCAAAAATCAGTGGCAACAGTTGTCTGTAGGATGTTTCACTCGCGCAAGGGATGTTCCCCTGAAAACTTGAACTTTTTCCACTGTTTGATAGGAACGGCTTTATTGAAAGAGTTTCCAGTGAAAGAAATAATAAAAAGAATATAAAATGTGACAGGACACGTCTGCGGATGAAAATACGAGATGAAAGAATAAAACAGCGGGGGGAGGGGGGGGGAGGAAAGCAAATACGCGACAATATCAGTGATGGGAGATCGATTGTGTTTCATAAAAAAAAGTTGGACGAAGTAATACTTGAAACGATGGATTAAAGTCTACTATTTTTGACTAATAAACGATGTTTAATCATTTCTGTTCTTAAAACTCGAATGTGTATTTGCCATTTTACTCTGTAAAAATAGAAAATCGAATAGTATTGCCCATTTTATCCCATTATTTTACAGAGTATGAAGTAAAATAAGTGCACTCTTTAGGAAATCAATAAGCACGTGACACACGATATCACTATTTTTCATATGAAACTACTTTAATTTTTTATATCATAAAAATCGTTCAAGGATACATCATTTTTTGCATACATCATTTTTCAATTGAGTCAATGTTATTCGGCCTTGCTGTAACTATTTCATGATTAATCACGACATGACGGTCAACAACACTTATTTTTAAATAATTTTTTCAATTCGAACGAAAAAAAAATAGACTTCTAGCATCACCTATTCATTCTATTCATTTTGCTTCAAACCACTTCATTTACTAGATTTCATAACTCTGAAATAACAAGTGGTGATAACTACGTGAATTAACCATTCAAATAGGATTTCACCGAGTGATATTACTCTTTCATTATCTCGTAAACCTTGGTAACATCTTCTCTCTCATTAATAGTCTCGCGTTTTCCCGCTACAACTCCTCCCTCTCAAATACCAAAATAATCAGTGAATCTACAACTTGACTGTTTTTAATACCTCGATTACAATCAAATAAAGATACATTTCCTTCTCACTTCTCATCCGTTAGAAATAAATGAAATCATCCCAGGGAGTCTCAATCAACTATCAATTCCGGTCATTTTAGTTCAAACCATTTCATTTTGCTACATTTTATAGCTCTGAAATAACAAGTAGTGATAACTACTTGTGAATTACCAATTCAAACTGTATTCCCCTCAGTTCTATTACTCATTTATTATCTCGTAAACCTTAGTGACATCTTTCCTCTCATTAATTGATCGTCTTGCGTTTTCTCCCTCCACCGTCGACCTCTCAAATACCAAAATAATCAGTGAATCTACAATTCAGTAGCGAAGTAGTAAACCGGTTTAAGTCGACTCGTCTCCCAGTTGAGTTTTTGAGGAATATTTCCGAATCTAAGGGAGATAGCAAAATTTTCGTAACCACATTTGTTGCGGCTCTCAATCGGCTCTACAAAAAAGGTCATAACAAAAATTTTGCTATCTCCCTTAGATTCAGAGATATTCAGTTCAACTGCTTGAAATACATTAATTGAAATCAAATAAAGATCCATTTCCTTCCGACTTCTCATCCATTGGAAATAATTGAATGAAATCATCCCAGGAAATCTCAATCAACTACCAATTCCGGTTATTTTCATTCAAACCATTTCATTTTGCTAAATTTCATAACTTTGAAACAGAGAGTAGTGATAACTACTTAAATTACCAATTCAAGCAGCATTTCACCGAGTTCTACTACTCTTTCATTATGTCGTAAACCTTGGTAACATATTCTCTCTCATTAATTGTCTCGCGTTTTCCCCCTCCCCGTCCTCACACTCTCAAACAAATTCCAAAATAATCAGTGCATCTGCGATTTAACTGCTTCCAATACCCCAATTAAATTCGCATAAAGATACATTTAATTTGCTACATTTAACATCTCTGAAATGACAAGTGTGATGACTATTGGAATTACCAATTCAAACGGTATTTCCGTCAGTTCTATTACTCATTTATTATCTCGTAAACCTCGGTAACATCCTCTCCCTTATTAATTTTCTCGCATTTGTTCCTCAAACTGATTTTAAAAGAGTGGGAACACACGTGACTTGTGGCATTCCACTGACTTTTTCTGTGATCCCACTGTTCTCGAGGAGCAAAAGTGCGTAATCAGTTCGCAAGTCCATCCAGAAATATGCAGCGGTGCGACGGAGAGTGAGAGGAGTGTTATCTCAACAGTCGACTCCCCCCCAACCCCACATCGTTGAAAACAGTTGTTCCAATCAAAGCCCACCCCCTCCCACTCAAATACCAAAATAATCAGTGAATCTACAAGTTAACTGCCTTCAGCAAGTCAATTAAAGCCAAATAAAGATACATTTCCCTCTCACTTTTTATCCACTCTCGCGCGATGACATAACGCGCAACAAATCCCGTCAGCACTCGGTTGCGATCGCAGTCGGACACGAGTGAAATATCCGCCGATTGTATCTTTCGCGATATTTTTCCGCGCTCACAAGTGTACCATTGCCCGCGACATTCCGGCGAAGCGCGAGTGAATAAAAATCGGGAATAAACCGTAAAAAGTGTGGTAAAGTGATCAGCAATGCCGGAGCACGATCAGGAGTCGAAAGTGAGGTTAAGACGCACAAAAAGCGTCACAAGGGCCGAGGAAATACAGAGGGCTGACTACATGGTCAGGCTGTCACAGCCGGACAAACCGTGAGTTCCAGAATTTCGCATTGTCCCGATAAAATAAACAAATGGACGAACAATAATCAATAATAATCTCACGTTATCACTCGTCACTTGTATCGGCTTCTCCATCTCCTCCGCCGGGAACAAGACGATATAATACTCCCGTTCTCCCCCGATAATTTATCGTTCTCTTTACGACTTTCTTTTTTATTTTTCATGAATTCCGTGCGACACGTATCGTATTTTCGGGAGTTAGGCGTGGACCCCAGTGAGTCCAAGGCACACATGGCAGGCATTAGCCGGTCCAAAGTACGCATGCGTGCTGACGAGGTGCCAGCGACACTCTGTCCCCTATTTTTCTCACTCCGACGATCAGCTGTTGAGTATCGATTTTTTTCCCCCCACTCGAAACGATCCCGTGGGCGCAAAACGAGGGAAAATTGACAAAATTGGCGAACCCTTTGGTCCTCTCGTTTTATTGTAATAAAGTTTATTTTTCTTTCAACTTGTCGATGTGAATATTCATCGATTGTTTGGCAATCAGTGATGAAATACGATTTACGATGCGTTTGGCTTGGAGGCAAGCCAAAACCGCACACAGCCAACCGCACACGTGGAATCCTCTCTCCTGTATTTGGGGGTGGGAGGG